TTCTATATGGAGCTGTGTACTCATTTGACCATGCTATATGGAGCGGTGTACTCATATGGTCATCCTATATGTAGCTGTGTACTCATGTCTATCCTATGACCTTATATACGGGTATATATGAGTTGTGTACTCATATGGTCATCCTATATAGAGCTGAGTACTCATATCTTTTTTGGAGCTGTATGGGTCAAACAATAGGGGTAAGATAAAGGACTATGGCCTTGGAATTGTGGGATAGGATGGCAATATTGGCCTTGTAATAATGGCCAACATAGCTCTTTGAATGTGTGGAGGTAAGGGATGCAGGCTTTGGGATAGGTGTACAGAGTATAGCCCTTGAAAAGAGAGTACAGGTCTTGGAATGGGGAAGGGAGTATAGGCCATGGAATCAGGAAAGGGGGGGGGGGGGTATAGGCCTTGGGATGGAAAAAAGACCATACAGTGGCTTGAAAAAGTATTCATACCCCTTGAAATTTTCCACACTATGTCATGTTCCTAACCCTCTTGTATTGAACTGTATTGTTGCTGTATTGTCTCCCTTTATATTGTAAAATGCTGAGCAAACTGTTGCACCATATAAATCCTGTATAATAATAATATTAATGTTTCAACCAAAAAACAGGATTTTATGTGATAGACCAACACAAAGTGCCAAATAATTGTAAAGTGGAAGGAAAAAAATAAATGGTTTTCAAATTTTTTTACAAGTAAATATCTGAAAAGTATGGATATGTATTCAGCCCCCTTTACTCTAATACTCCTAACTAAAATCTAGTGGAAGCAATTGCCTTCAGAAGTCACCTGATTAGTAAATAGAGTCCACCTGTGTGTAATTTCATCTCAGTATAAACACAACTGTTCTGTGAAGCCCTCAGAGGATTGTTAGAGAACATTAGTGAACAAACAGCATCATGACGGCCAATGAACACACCAGACAGGTCAGGGATAAAGTTTTGGAGAAGTTTAAAGCAGGGTTAGGTTATAAAAAAAATAATCCAAGTTTTGAACATCTCACGGAGCACTGTTCAATCCATCATCCGAAAATGGAAAGAGTATGACACAACTGCAGACCTACTAAGACATGTCCGTCCACCTAAACTGACAGGCCAGGCAAGGAGAGCATTTATCAGAGAAGCAGCCAAGAGGTCCATGGTAACTCTGGAGGAGCTGCAGAGATCCACAGCTCAGGTGGGAGAATCTGTCCACAGGACAACTATTAGTCGTGCACTCCACAAATCTGGCCTCTATGGAAGAGTGTCAAGAAGAAAGTCATTGTTGAAAGAAAGCCAAAGGAAGCCCCATTTGCAGTTTGCGGGAAGCCATGTGGGGGACACAGCAAACATGTGGCAGAAGGGGCTCTGGTCAGAGGAGACCAAAATGGAACCATTTGGCCTAAAAGCAAAACTAACACGGCACATCACACTGAACACACCATCCCCACTGTGAAACATGGCGGTGGCAGCATCATGTGCTGGGGATGCTTTTCTTCAGCAGGGACAGGGAAGCAAGTCAGAGTTGATGGGAAGATGGATGGAGCCAAATACAGGGCAATCTTAGAAGAAAACCTGTTAGAGTCTGCAAAAGACTTGAGACCGGGGCGGAGGTTTCCCTTCCAGCAGGACAACGACCTGAAACATCCAGCCAGAGCTACAATGGAATGGTTTACATCAAAGCACGTTCATGTGTTAGAATGGCCCAGACACAGTCCACTCCAGACCTAAATCCAATGGAGAATCTGTGGCAAAATTGCTTTTCACAGACGTTCTCCATCCAATTTGACAGAGCTTGAGCGATTCTGCAAAGAAGAATGGGCAGAAATGTCCCTCTCTAGATTTGCAAAGCTAGTAGAGACATCCCCTAAAAGACTTGCAGCTGGAATTGCAGCCAAAGGGGGTCCTATAAAGTATTGACTCCGGGGGGCTGAATACAAATACCGCCACACTTTTCACAGATTTATTTGTAAAAGATTTTGAAAACCATTTATCATTTTCCTTCCACTTCACAATGATGTGCCACTTTGTGTTGGTCTATCACATCCAATCCCAATAAAATACATTTACATTTTTGGCTGCGATATGACAACATGGGGAAAATTTCAAGGGGAATGAATACTTTTCCAAGGCACTGTAGCTCTCAGGATGGGGAGGAAAGAAGGATATAAAGATTTTGGAATGGGAGAAGGAAGTATAAGCTGTGAAAAGGGTGGAAGATAGGGAAAGAAGTGTAGGCCCTGTGATGGGGGTAGAGAGTGTAGGTCTTGCAATCAGGGGAAGAGCAGGGAGTGTAGGCCTTGTTATAGAGGAGGGCAATGGAGTGTAGGCTTTGGGAATGGGGAATGGGAAAAGAGTGCAGGCCTTGGGAGGGGGGAGGAGCATAGGCCTTGTCATTGGGGTAGGGAGTGTATGCCTTGTGATGAGGGAAGGGGATGAGAGTGTAGGCCTTGGGATGGAGGGGTGGGGGGTCAAGGAGTGTAGGTCTTGTCATTGCGTATGCAAGTGTATGCCTTGTTATGGGAGAAGGGAAAGAGAGTGTAGGCCTTCAGATTGGAGGGGAGGGGGTGCACGCCTTGTCATTGGGGTAGGTAGTGTATATGCCTTGTTATGGGGACAGTGGGTGTATGCCTTGTGATGAAGGAGAGGAAGAGAGTGTAGGCCTTGGGATGGGGGGGGGGGGATGAAGGAGTGTAGGCCTTGTCATTGGGACAGGGAATGTATGTCTTGTGATGAGGGAAGGGGATGAGAGTGTAGGCCTTGGGATAGGGGAGTGGGGGGTGAAGGAGTGTAGGCCTTGACATTGCGGTAGAGAGTGTATGCCTTGTTATGGGAGAAGGTAAAGAGAGTGTAGGCCTTCGGATTGGAGTGGAGGGGGGGAGCACGCCTTGTCATTGGGGTAGGGAGTGTATGTGCCTTATTATGGGGACAGAGGGTGTATGCCTTGTGATGAAGAAGGGGAAGAGAGTGTAGGCCTTGAGATGGGGGGGGGGGGGGTGAAGGAGTGTAGGCCTTGTCAGTGGGACAGGGAGTGTATGCCTTGTGATAAGGGAAGGGGGAGAAAGTGTAGGCCTTGGGATGGGTAGGGGGAGTGTAGGCCTTGTAATGGGGGAAGGGGAAGAGAGTGTAGGC